TAAATTTTGTAATTCTCACACATTATTTTTAAAGTTAATGTTTACAGCTTCTGTCGTCTCTGTATACTCTGCGGTTGGCATACCTCGGCAAAACTTTATAGTCGCAAAGGTACTTGCAATAAAAAAAGACGGTGACCCACAAGAAGCATAATTCTCACGCGTGCATTTTGATTAAGAAACCTTCGGGTGCTGCCGGAAGCATCTGTAATTTTGACTTATGTTCCACATGATATTTCCCCCCTTTTGCTAATTGCTACCTGTCCAGGTGTTAGTTCCACTATCAGAACAGAATGAATATTTCGCATACACCTAAGTACTAGCCCGTGTGCATACATAAACATTTCCTACAACGCCGAAGTATTGCATATTCCTCATAGACATAGACAAACATACCCTTTGTACATATCATATATGGTATATAAACGTCGAGAGCCGCGTACATTTATTTGCTGTTCAGTTAGTTCAGGGCCGCCTAGTTCCTACACCTCATATCAATTGTCATCGGTAAGTAAACTCCAAAAAAAAAATCCGCTGTCATGTTCTGCAAACTCACATTCGCTTGTCTGAACAGAAATAATTGCAAGATATCGTTGCCGAAAGGTCAAGATCGACGGGGCAATGTAGATATTAGAGCTCGTAAATGGCTGTTTGAATCCCTCTCTAGCAGAGAAACAAATCACATCAGCTCTAGCCACTAGAGACATGAGTGGAAAAAAATACAACGCGCTCATCAACGCAAAGCATTTCCGTACCACCGACCTACACATGAAGCATAAACACAAAATGGTGCTCAAATGCACCCAAATTTATATCCAGTCCCTGCACTACCACATAGAGAACTACAATAAAAATGGGACTATCAGTTGAATAGAGTGTCCACAGTAAGAGAAGAGATAAGTGCACAATATACAAAGTGTCTGTGGTGATGATATCTCAAGTGTCGATGGTGTGTTTCTGCCAAGCGATGCAGATAGAGCAGTTTTGTCGTCTTGGTACACAACAGTGGGGAGAGGACAAAAGATAGAGCAGTAAAGTGCATCAGTGTGTCATCTTGGTGCACAATAGTGGGGAGAGGACAAAATTGTCCCGACGTGTACGCGCACGTGCGGCTACGTGTACGCGCACGTGCGGCTGATGATAAAAGACAAACTATATGTATACATAGGTATTACTTTCATGCATCTATGATTAATAGCAACGCAACACAGCGGGTACGTCTCGCACATGAAACTATACTAAAGCCATAAACAACATCAAACGAAAATTCTCTACGCGCATCTTTTCCGAAGGTAGCTCATCAGCTACCCCACACACATCTCCGGAAGAACGTAGAGTGCTAAATTCTATGGGAAGTCAGTTTAGTCCAGATCTAAATAGGCAAGGTTTTTGTCTAACTACTGTGCAACTCAACGACGTATTAACGCCTATTCAAGGCACCCATGCAAACGTACAACACAGCCAGGCACAATCAGCAGACGATATCACACCTATATCAAATACAGTAGATCCCGGTGAATATTTCATAAAAAATCATCGTTTTGCTTAGAGTAAACTGGTGAACCAGACCTTACTTGTGTATCGTTGCTTTTAAGTTGGTTAAACTACAACAACCGATTAGACCAACTGACACAATGATCACACAGGGCTAGGAAAGACTGTCAAGCGCAACTAAATGCAGAGAACGATGGGAAGGAAGAGTGTGTAGACCCTGATAGCAGTGGTGATAGCGATGTAGGTATATCACAACAAGGAAGAAATTTTAAATTGAGTAAATAGCATAAGTCCATCATATTTATGTGCGCATTTTGAAATAGTCGAGACAATCTTGACTCATTAGGCGCACATTTTAGGATAACAGATGACACCGCTAAACTAATCTACATATCAGCTTTGAGTCTTATATTCCAAAGTCGTCAGCCATTTCATACTGCTGAACGGTACGCTCAGTTTACACCTGAGTGTACAAGGTCAGCATTGCAGATACAGGATGGTATAGGAATAATGATAGGTGATGCGGTCGAACTACCAGCTGAGAGACCTGGGTGTGACGTCGACACGCAGTCTGTGTATTACAGTGAATATAAGAATTATCCAACATATAAACATAATGTTGTGAGTAATGGCGGCACTTGTCACATCATTAGTGCATACCCCGGATCAGCCACATACAATGAAAACTATGGACCCAAAATGATCGCCGGTGATGGCTCTACTTCAATGGTACCTATTTACGATAAAGGTCTGACCGACCGCTATGAGCTTGAAAAACTGGGTATGCTTGTATGTACACCGTCAGCAAAGTCAGTTTGCCTTTGATGCCAAAAGAAGTGAAAGTGTCAGGGATTTTGCCTAAGAGAGTATCAACATTGTAGGACCATAGAGGGACTCCGTAGTTACCGTGGATCTGGTGAATGAATAAAGTGTAACCCAAAATTGATTCCGTGGATTACGAAGCCCAGGTTGCAAGAGGTCTCGTCAATCTAAAGCTACTAATCACCGATTGGTGGACGACAAAGGACTAAAACAAAACAAAAGGGTCTTAGTTAGAACAGCAAGAAGCCGCAGACACCGAACTGATGAATTATTTCAACTTTATTGACGACAAGGACAATACGGATGTGATATTGTGCAGACATAATGTAGTGCAGACATAATGTAGTGCATAACTTTATTAAAGATTTTAAAGGTACTTCACTATCCACTACCCCTTGCCGTACATTACTGATAAGTTCTGTTGTCGACAAATTGAGTCTTTTAGCCTACACACACTCGGTCATACACTGACCGAACCCGTACTACAACACATACAATACATACAGAAGTTGACTGGTTCAAAGATCGAAGTACTGCTGACTAAAGGTACGTGCCATCTCTTAAAGAGATAATTATCCCATTAATAAACTCTATTCCGAACTCTCGAATTACCACTGATGACTATTCTGCAGGGAATTACTATAGCTTCAAAGGACTGTGTCATGGCAACTGTTCAAGACTTGAGAGACGAACCCGTACCTGGTCAGTATTTGGTAACGTTGAAGTCTAATGGTAGATACAAATGTTTTTGTTTTGTTTTGCGTTGTCAAGCACGTTAATAGCCAGACAGATTTACATTACTGTAGGCAGAATTGACATTAATGGACAGTTTATTTCATTCACTCTAGATATATCGGTTTGCGCATGCATACGTCGAGAAGCGTTGGGAATGCTATGTGTACACAGAGGCAAAACTCTGATGACACTAGCATTGGACAACTCCTGGGGGTATGATAAATTCAAAGAAAAGTACAACCTACAAAATGAGAAATGGTCTGTTGTAAGTCACTCGATTTTACTGGTTTCACCTATATGTATATATAAGATCCGATCCAATGAATGTATGTAAGCTTGAACACCGATACTCAATAGCTCAATGCTAGCTCACTGCTAAACAAATCCCACTATATTCCCACCATTGCTTTAAATCTTTTAAGTACAGCCCTGTATTTCATGTCAAGACATACTTGAAGCAGTATTCGGAGACTCTTCAAATTTCAAATGAACTCGATATCGAGAGCAAATTATGTCAGGTATCTCCTCCAAACAATCCTGGTCATCGAGAACGTAAAAAGGGTCGACATGCCAGTAATCGACGTGAATACAAGCACAAAGGAAAACCACGAATATGCAAAATTTGTTCTGCGAAATATCACACTGCCCAGACTTGTACATCGTAAGAACTCCGAAAATACTTGGCAAATCACAAAGTGACCGCTCTCGTCAGTGCGTACCCGTTGCCGGAAAGTAGTTACGGTGTACGTAAGCACTACAGAATAAAGAAGTAAATTAATTCGCATGTGAATAGCTTGTATATGAACTCTATAACAGGCTTATTATACCCGCCCCTCGAAATCCACTGTTTACTATATTCAAAAGCTGAATTTTACTAATCACTACCCCTAAAAAAAAATGGTAGGTTTTATGGATATGTCTACTAAGTGATCGCCATGAAAATATACTGCCGTAGTGGTAGGGGAGTGATTAGTGAAATCTACATGCCCACGGGGTAGTGTTTAGTGAATCCCCTCAAGACATCAATAAAAAAAACAATGTTAGTAATCATACTCATTAGTGGTTCCTATAGTAGAAGCACATGTTAAACGTATTTTATAAACGTACGAATGTTGAAACGCAATACGGTTATAAAACCTGGTATACGTTGAAACGCAATTGTAGATATTTGGAACTGCAAATTAACCAAATAATCTAATCGATTAGTTATAGATATCTTGATATGCAGTAAAACAAAACAAATAATCTAATATTAAATAGATATTTGAAATTATAATTGTATACAACAGAGGACGGAGACTCTGTTGATATTTCTTTGGTAATTTTTCTTTAACGACATGTATTCCACCAGAATATTGGGATATAATTTCTGAAGGGTCTCAGGTTAATTGACACTTGTTGACACATGTTATATTTCCGAGTACTCTCAACGCGAGATAGCCCACTGAGAAATGGGGCATGAAAATGATACCCTCTAGCAAGCCAACTAGATGTGCCCGTCCATGCCTTCAATGAGATGGAGAGCTAGGTACCAAGTGATGGGGTATAGGTGCAGACATTTAACTGCACTAACTTGTTGTTTTTTGATTAATTTTTATTTCTTCTTAAGTTGGACTTAGAGATATTTTAATAGTAATTGCGATTGGAGGATAGTTTCGAAGCGTGAAACGATAAGAGAATGAAATATCGTGCATCCAATGAAATGAAATCTGATCTTAGTTACTGACACCGAATAAATCTAGACCGAAGTAGTGAGTGATTAGAGCGGAGCATATAAACAATAGTCTCAGTCTAAGGTCACCTATTCTGTAGCTCATTACCAAGGGCTGAAGTTAATCTTAGATTACATTGTGCAAATTTACTTTGAAATCGTATTTTCTTTTACGTTAACTTATTAACATCGATAGTCAGCCTGGAAAGTCTGACTTTTACAATAGGTACAGAATCTCCTGTCAAAACCTGTTTATCTTGAGATTCCTCTCCTTCTTCTTATCCTTGTAAGTGCTGAGTTTTGCTGTGCGGTATGTCTTGTACAACTCTCGTTCCCCATCTCCCATCGGGGTCTTCCGAGTTTTTATATGATTCCTTCCCAGTGGATTGAATTTGGCGCGTGTAATAGTACATATGTAATTCTTACTCTTATCTAAGAACTGCTGTGCTATAACAATCGAATGTTGATTGGCGTTGAACTTTCTAGTCTTCGGTCTTGTCGACCACCTACATGCACCATTCCGCAGATACGCTCCAACGTTGCTCGGATGTTTACACATTTGGTGTGATTGTGACAAGGGCTGACCTTCAATGTTTTGGTCTTGCCCTTCGCCCTCGTCGGTAGTCATCTTCTTTATTCTAGCTAATGGCAGTAAACAATTACACTCCTCGATTGAAATAATGTACAAAGCTTCTGTAGTATTGTTCTTATCAGCCAATAGCACGCGCATCACGGCCATCTTTTCATGTCTGTAGGACCTACTGTACTGACTTGCGATTTGACGTACACTAGTTGTCGGTGTTTGCGATTTGAATCATCCCTTAGCGGCGCACAAACGTATTGCAGATTTATCACGTCTCGTTTTTCTTGTTCTTTAGCTTGGCGCAAAGTATCACATGGGCAGATCCCCCCAAATAAGTTTTGATGACTGCGTTAGATACTACATATCGATCCTTAGCATCACAATAATCTATGAACTTCAGGTTTTTACATGTATCCTTAATAGCATCCCATGATAAACGCTTGAGTATACACATTAAGGTATATAAATTCTGCGCAAGAAACTCCAGTATAACATTCTTAGTGGTGAAGCGGGCAAGACGAAGCAAGACTCTATCAAAACCGTACGCTATTACAGCCTTCAAAATGAGCTTACACTCTGCTTTGAGTTGTTGTTCTGGGTCAACATTCTCGAATGCGAGAAGTACATCTCTTATGCGTGAAGTTCTAGCTTTGCGACGTTAGAATACAATTACTGCACCAGATCTCCACTCAACATCACAAATGATCTTATCACAGCCGAGAACAAAATATCCTGTATCATATAATAGTATATAGTCAACGGGGTTTTTAATTTGGAGAGCAAGCAGTTGCTGCTCCGCTTCCATTGGGGCTACCATGAATTCAATATCCTTATCACGACACAACAACATCAAATGTTCTGCATATGCAATATTATAATAAGCTACGGCTGCTTTACACTGCTTCTTTTCATCGAAAGTTTTGTCCTTATGCTTCCACTGCAGAAGCAATAATATATAGTATTGATTAATATTAACCACATAATAATGTAGTGAGACCAATAAACGATCACGTAATAAGTATTATATACCTTAATATAGTCGTCGATAGATTGCATTGCCAAATTCCTTCTAGCTTCTCGCTTTCGTTTGCGAGTTTGTCTCTCACTCGGTAGCCATCAAAGACAATGAACAATTGTTTGAGTGTTCCAAACCCGTACGACATTGTATTGAAGCCCATGCATCAAGTAGAAACGGTTAAAATTTATTATCCATCACGATGTCTACCGTTTTGCAAACGCATGAATAAGGGCGACAATAACGACGACAACCCTAGCACCCCCATCGTGTCTTATGATGCATAATGTAGTATGAAGGAGCATGCACACCTATATACCTATGTATAGATGGTCTGATAAGATTAATAGTCAAATTTATTATACAAAATGACAATAAAATACAGCACATGCCAAAACATAATGTTCGGTACAAACCAAAATTCAGATACTAAATTACTATATAAAAAATGAGCGGTAATCTATTCCGACTCTTGCGTAATAACGTTGTACATGTTCCGCCTCCTACGTGATAATGCTCTACATATTCCGATTTCTACGAAATAATGTTATCCAACTCAACACCACTCAGGGCGACTATGCAACACGCTCGAAGCTGCAGCTGCTCACCGACTCTCAAGTGCTCACGCAAAGTTCAATGCGCGGTAAGTCACAGGGTTGCTCGCCTCTGAGTAAGAATATACAGAGTGCTCGCCCGCATTCTCAGCATTTCAATAAACACACAATACGCTCGAAGCTGCGATTAATAACCAGGCTCACACAAAGTTCAATGCGTCGTATCCTAAGGATTGCTCGTCACTGATTGCCAGAATAAGTGACGATTGGTATCCCACCAATACGATTCATCTGTACACACTATATAGAGCCATTCACCAATAAAACCTGGTACATTAACGAAAATAAAGTCTTCACCAACAAATCGATGAGGCACAAACGACCCATAGAGCTTTGTACCAAGAGTCACCGGGCCTGTGTCAGGAAAATTGCCATTTGCCCCCACTTGGCTTTGACCGCAACACTATCCACTATCCAGAGGGCCGTGTAGCCTTCTGATTTCTGAATATTGAACAGACTTTAATCATCTTTTTAAAAGTCTCGCCCTTTTGCACTGACGAGTGCTATTGGAACTAGAAACTGTCAACATAATTGATTAAGTTTACTATTGAATATAGTTGTATATTTGTAGGATAATAAACGGAGTAAAAATTGTGTTCACGATTATTGACCACATGTGATTATGCTCAGTAACCGAAAAACCTAGTTTAGGGTTTAAACCCAGATAGTCAGGTTTAACCTGTCCCAGTAATGATTTTCGTGTTATCGGGAAGTGGAAATCTTGAGGGGAAAGTATTTGTTGTGTAAAATACTCGTGGAGACACTTGGTAAGAAGGTCAGCGGGGTTCTCGTGCGTAGAGATGTAGCTATTGTTAATGATGCCCTGGTGGGCACAGTCGCGTATGTAGTGGGCTCGGACCTCGATGTGTTTGAGGCCTTTGGCGGTGCCCGTACCAAAAGCGACTTCAATAGCCAATTGATTGTCGACATGGAGATGAGTCGGATGGAGAACTGTGTGCCCGCAAGCATTGAGTATATTACGGACCCATGCAATATCACGCGTGGCCTCAGATGCCGCAATATATTCGGCCTCTGTGGAACTTATACTGACAGTCCTTTTTTTTTTTGACTTCGCCAGTGGACGGGCGTGTTGTTCAGAGTGATGAGGGTGCCAGTATGTGATTTCCGGGTGAGTGGGCAAGAGCCCCAGTATGAATCGGTATACGTTGTGAGGTGATGGCTGATGTCGAGCTTATCGGGGGCGGATGTGTAGCGTAGAGCAAATGTTTTAATAGTGACGAGATAGTGTAAAATGCGGGTCAGCGCATCGTAGTGAGGAATCAGGGGGGCTACACTGAAGAGAAGTGGCATAGGGGACGGAACGAAGTTAGAGGTAGGTGTGTGGGGGGGTCGGCTATACCGGTGGAGTGAGTGAGAGGGATTGAAGTAGGCGGTGAGGGAATTGTCGAGAGTGGTATGGGAGTTGGTAGGGGAGGAATGGTGGGGGTGGGGAGTGGGAGAGGGTCAGGGAGAGGAGGCACGACAGCAAGGAGTGGTATAGGGGTGGGGTCTGGAGGAATTGGAGTGGGAGGTGGTTGTCCGGGCGCAGGTGTTGAAGGGAGGGCCGAGGTAGTGGTATGGTGGTGGGGACCGGAGGAATTGGGGAAATATAACGAATCTCGACGGCGATGTGATGACTAGCTGTTGCCCAGTCGCTGGGAATTTCCCATATAGATGGGGTAGAATCTCGTGTGGCATTGGGGGCGTTCCTTTGTAAAAATTTGGACGTCATGGCTATGGATAATCATCTGGGTCGAAAAACTCTGAATTGTGAACGTGTAATCGGTGCCATTTAGGACCTGGCCGCGGAGAACCCAAAGCCACATGGCGGGGCATACTTGTGTTTGGGGTATGTAGTTGAAGCCTTTGTATATTTTAAATGCAACGACACAACCAGAACGCGTATGAGGGTACGTAGCGGCCGATTGTCTATGCCATATACGATGCGGAGTGAACAGTTTGGCATTCTTGGGAGGGGTACGATTCCGAAGGGTGTCAGCGAATGTTTTGGCGAAGCCCCAGAGAACAAGGGGCATACCAGCATCAAGTAAGAGGCATCAAACCAAGGTATTGAGGGTAGAGTGTTGGCGTTCGACCGCTGCGTTCATTTGGGGGGTGTTTGGTGGCGTAACACGGAGTGCCATATTCTGCGAGGTAAGATGATTGCGAAGGTTCTCGCTCTGGAGAGCAAAGTTTCCATCGGACGTGAGGGTGTGGGGTTTCCAGTGCCTCGGTATGTGTGTTAGAAGTTCGCCCACCTGCTGTTCCAACGACATTTTGTTGGGCAGGTTTTTGTGGATGCCGAATGTAGATACAGCGTCGACCATGTTTAATGCATAAATATTGCCATCGCGATCATGGGGGATGGGACCCTGAAGGTCGATGTGCAGCTTTTCGCCAGGGCCATAGATAGTATCTGTTGACTCACGGGCTACTCCCTTCGCGTGCATTTTAGGCTGGTTTTGCCAACTTTCTGAAATTGTGAAAATAGCCTTTTGGATCGAGTAAAACACCTTACTCCGGCAACTAAATTGTGTATTTCATATCCTCGTGCTGAAATTATGAAATGTATTTGAAATTCTGGAAAATTTTCAGGACAATTTGAAACTTGATATTCGTTCAGATTGTCCCTTTTGGCAAGTTCAAATTACAAGACTGCACCTCCAAGAAATTCTACTCAAAATTCGAAATCCGAAATTTTCCTCTAATAAGTGAAAACGAGGGTCAGACAACGTTTTCACTTGGATAAGAGAAATAGACTGTTCTATTTTAAAATCTACTCTGGCTTTTTTTTAGCGCACTTTTGAAATTACAGTATGTCACATTTTTATGTATGGCGTTTGTCAACTGGACAATAGACTTTTTGAGGAAATTCTGGGCTGCCCTACAGCCATAATTTGTTGGACTGGCTATAAAAATTTCAATACAGTACTGGAAAAGAAACTATCCGAAATACAGTCCATAATTCCAAAAACAATAGTTTCCTCAGAGTTTTATAAAGTTGGCAAAACAGGCCTTAGCTTCGATGCAGGTGGGACAATGTTTTTCGAACTTGGGGTTGGCCCGGGCAGCATAATGGCCGCTGTAAGTGCACTGGAGTCGCGAACAGCAGTATGAAGGGGACCGATAAGAGCTACGATCGTGTAGAGCCAAGACGGACGGCCGACAACAGTAGTTCCGTGTCGGAGAAAGGGAGAGTACGTGTTACGTATGATGAAGGGGTCTGATTGAAAACGTGAGCTGACCGCCGTCCACCATTTGGCGCATGGTCGGAGGGGAATGACGATGGCCGTGGTTGCCCCGACCTTAGTAACAGCGTGGGTCATTTCGTAGATGTCGTTCCATATGGGGTTGCCATAGGCTTACTCGGGAAGGAAATTCACTTGCCGCCAGTCATTATCAACGCCGCCGCCTTCAGGGCCTGCGTAGCGAGGTACCTGTGTAAAAGCCGGGCCCCCACATTAGAATCTTGTAATATAAACGGACACTTAAAAGTACGTAAACTTAGTTTTCCCTAAATGGGTTTTAACAGTTTTATTATATATATATATATATATATATATATGAATATATAAAGACAATCCAATTTGTTCAGTTAAGTAAATTTAAATGATTGTGAGGCCGACCACCTTTTCCATTTTACATATCAGATATTTGGACAAGGCCATTAAAAGCCCCCAGTAAAATACCAAATATAAGATTTGGACTAGTTCTATTAATAGAACTATATTTACTTTCCAAATCTATTTATATCTGAATACTTCGGTAGCGAGATGGCTCAACCGAACATAGGTTTCTAAGGACTATTAGCGTTGCTTAGTTTATCCTCTGTTCAGCCAACCAGATGTGCCAGTCTGATGCAGGCTAGTCGGTAATTCTTGATAAGTGGCAAGTTATTGGTTAGTACAATAACTATGGACTTCGAGAGTTTTTTTTTTCTATTTTTTTTCTAAAGATAGGATTTTATGAGTCTCTCGGATTCGCCCCAACGAAACATATCATAGTTTCTACTAGAGCGACGACGAAACACTAAATAAAATCCCTTCGGCGAAAACAGTACTGAGAGGTATATATATATTGGCAATGTCTCAGCCTCACAATCCCTCAGAGTATTGCTGTCTTCACGAGGCTTACCTTAATTTATTAAAAGACTCACTTCAATTATTTACTTTGAAATTTTATTATACTTAGACCTAATCTAAGCGTTTAATTACTCTAAGGCGTTAATATCGCCTTGATAGACCGGAACTTACACATTTTAAAGTTAGCAAAGGTATTAACTACTTAGACTACTTAAACGTAAAGGTAGATAACTACCTCAATTTTTTTCCTAAACGCAGTCATTTAAGTTAAGTATTATGACTAAGAAAGACAATACACCTGCAAAGAAACGCAAGGCCGAACGTAAGAAGATGGAGAGAGAAGCTGCAAGTGCCGCCGCTGCTGCCGATGCGTTTAACCGCACCGTAGCCGAAGCACTTGTCTCTGGCAATAACAGTCTGGACAATGCTTCGGATAAGGATGCAGCCACTCCGATTACGGAGACTACCCTTGCAGAAAGAGCCCGAGGGCCAACTATTGCCTCAACTTAGAAGCTCGCATTTCGGAAGCCAAGAAGTGAGACAAGGGACACATCTCAAGACGCCCCATCTAATCCTTCTGATGAAACTCAGAAAGAAAAGTCCCCAATTATAGGGGACAAAGACGAGTCTCAGAAGGTACCTACACCGGAACCAGAAGAGGAGGCAAGCTCAAGTGGCAAACCCGAATCTACGTCCGAGACCACTGAGCTAACGAGCATAAGTAGGTTAACAACTGAAAACACTGATCTTTAGAATCAGTTAGCCGCTTTTATGAAAGGCTTGTCTGTTGAACATGTAGATCGAATGTATGGAACGGAAAAACAAGCAAAGCGCTTACGCGAGCATGTTTCTCCAGACACTACTAAAGATCTACAGCAGTGGACGGAACGTCAGCAGTCAATGACGCCCGAAAAGCGTAAGGATTTGATTGCAAAACCTGTGGCAGTTGACCCAGATGCGCCCAGCATATCTATACCTTACGAGGAACTACCACCCGAAGTCCAGGTATTTTACACTCCTGTTCCTTCGCCCGGCCATGAGTCACCTGTTATTGAGGGTATTATAGACCCAGAGGCAGGTAAAAGGACTCCACCACCTTTACCCAACTGGGGAGACCGTTCACGTCAGAGACCAGTTAAAACTGGGTATGTCATCCAGACGCATGAATCACTCAAGATAATAATACCAACGACTATCCAAGGAACAGTGCACCGAAAGGTCTCTACCATGGACTTTACACGGGGCAATAAACCCCCGCGTAAGCGAATTAACGAAGTCAAGTTTAATCGCTTCGATCGAACTGCTTTGCATCAACCCGCAGAGGATTTCCATTCTGATGAAGTGACGGAACTTAAAAACTCGGTCGACGACTACATGATCAAAATGGACATTGCTCATGACCAGAAGAATGAAGCAGACATAACATATTATGCTAATAGGATCGCGAATCAACAGAAGCGCATCGACCAACTACTTCAGGCCCAACGTGGACAAGACCACCGGGATAACCAGAAGTACAAGGGGCAGATCAGTCGACTTAAGTCGAACTGGGATGCTAGCAGCAAGCAGGTCGAGTTTATTAATAATCACGACCTCGACACGCTAACCCATACGCTAAATGCGCTTACGGTTATGCTGGAGACGATCGATATCGCTCCCCAGCAGTGGATTTCTGCATGAATGCAGTCATTCGACCCAACAGGAACAAGTTACTTGATCCTGCAGCGCCACCAACACGAGCTAGACGCCTGTGACGCTGTGTGTTGGTTAGTCACATCCTCATTAAGCAAGGACATGCGCAGTCCAGGACTGAGTTCAATCTTAACTGAACCAGTTGAAAATACTCCTATTCAGAGCTACATTCTGGAACTCTATGCTTACCTTAAACGTCCAGATATAACAAAGGACAAGGCTCAGCGATGGTACGAGTTCCTGACAATGCATGTTTTCTGTAAGAACATAGGGAACAACGACCGTGAAAATATGAACACCGAGTTGCGACGTAAGTACGCAACTGAGGCTCGAGACATGGGACATGAAACAAAGTTTTATCTATCCCGACTTACGTGGGAACAGTTTTACGATACTGTATCCACCCTTTACCCCGCTCACCGAGTAACGAGGAAAGGCGGTAAATAAGAAATCGCGTGAACTCCCTGATCAAGGATATCTCTCACGACAGACGTCGGATGATATGCCTCATCAGACCCGTCCGAACCAGACACGCACTCGCGACTCTACTCAGTCAACACGACCCAATAAGGGGGTACGCGCGGAGACGAAGGACAAGGAACCTTCATATATGGAAGCTAAGAAATGCGCCGACGCGCAGTGTGGGTATGACATGTACCAATCAACCCCTAACGGTTATTGGAATGGAAGACATGCACTCAACTGTACACACTTCCTTACGAAGTGTGACAAGTGTGAAAAGACCAATGGTTATCATGCCAAGTCTTGTGACAAGAAGCCCGACAGTAAGTTGGAGTGAAAGTGCTACCAGGTACAATCGTTGCAAAGAAAATACAACGACTCCTTAGATGAGCGTGTAATAATCTCTGTATATTGCAACTGAAATAAAGTCCTTGCATTGATTGATCCTGGTTCAGAAATTTCATGTATATCCGACCGCTTTGCATTAATGAAAGACATTGAAAGGCGAACTCAAACCACTCACCTTATTTTAGCAGATGATAAACTCCTAAGTGTGATACCACAGATGTTAAAATCTCCCCGGCCGATGATAGAAATATCACTACTCAAGCTGTTATCGTTAAGATGTCACAGAAGCATGACATTATAGTCGGAATGAGCGATTTGCTCACGTTAGGGATAACCGTAACTGGCTTACCTAACAACATAGATCCATTAAAGGATCAATCAGACGATAATCATCTGAAACCATATACACCACCATCGGACACAGTCAAGGAATTAATTCCTGGCTTTGATAAGATAATGGATCTTATATTAGTAAATAAGAAGATAAAAATAACTGACTGGGCGAAATTCCGCTTTAACGACAGATACGTCAGCCTTGACTTAACCAAGGTAGATTTTGCTAAGCTCAAATGCTCTTCAAGAAACTATGTTTCTTGGAGACATGAGGCTGTAGTGAATGAACAAGTTGAGAAATGGATAGTCGATGGGGTAATCGAAATCAATTACCAACAAACGCCAGTAAACTTAGCACTACTGGCAGTTGATCAACACAACTTTGACGGAACATTAAAGGAAGTCAGAGTATGTCTAGACATGAGTCCAATAAATAAATTATTGCCGACTCATAGTTTTTATTTCCCTCGTATAAACGAGTTACTGAAACGAATGGAAGATGCTACGGTGTTTACAACCATAGACCTGACACAGAGGTATCATCAACTGCAAATTTATAAACCCCATCGTAAGTACTTCAGTTTAACTTGGAAAGGTAAACCATACCGGTTTAGAGGAGCACCTTTCGGGTTACACTCTTTACCAGCATTCTTCCAAAAAGTAATGTAAGAAATGTTTGCAGACATACCTAATGTGCAAGTCTACATAGATGACATAGTCATCATTTCGAAAACTAAGGGCGAACACGCCGCATTAGTCAGAAGAGTCCTTCAGCGACTCAACGAACGAAACTTCAAGATTAACGAGAAGAATTGTCACTTCGCCATGAGCGAAATACAGCTCTTAGGCTATCGCATATCGGGGGAAGGTATAAAATCGACCTAGGTAAGGTGGAACACCTGTTAGATTGGCGAACAACAACTACAGAAAGAGATGTAAATAGTGTGTGTGGATATGTAAACTTCTTCTCTGATGGAGTACCACACTTAGCTGATTATCTTAAACCCTTTGGACACTTAAGATGTCCAAAAGGTAAACTAGGAGACTTGTGGACCAAAGAGTGTGATGACGCATTTAAGGCGCTCAAGCACACAGTCCAACAAGCCCCTATAGTACAAAGACCAGTCGATGGCGTGCCGTTTGAAATAGCAACGGATGCACCAGACTTCGCGCTCGGAGGAGTATTGTACCAGGTTATAGATAATAAGCCTAGGTATATACAATTCTTTAGCCGAGCAGTGAACGCATCACAGTTAAATTATTCAACTGTGAAGCAAGAGCTACTTGTCACAGTAGCAGCTCTTCCGTGATTACGTATACGGAACAGCGTTTACGCTAATGTGTGATCAGAAATCCCTTCAGTATATGAAGAAGATGAAGCTAGACTCTCAATTATTGAGCCGATGGCATGATACGATATCAAAGTTTCATTTTGACATCAAACATTTACCAGAGATACATAACCACTTACTGGATATGTTATCACGCTTCGTACCGGACTTTAATAAACCCGTACGAGAGTTACTAGCCACGGACTGGAAATGTAACCCCAGGTGGTTTGAATTGGATCAAAATTAATCTGGGTCACATACCATAGATATGTTTGCTGCACATCATAATGCACAACTATCGAATTACTGGACTTTAAATCATCCTTTGAGAGACGCCTTTCAAATAGACCTCTCCAAACATAATGCGTGGGCTAATCCACCATGGCAGTCAATTGGCCAGCTATTAAATTATGTTCATATACATAAAGCTACCATCACAATGTGTTGCCCATTACGGAGTAAAGATCCATGGCTCAATAAATTAATAAACATGATACAATGCGAGCCAATATATTTAGATAGGGAAGTAGATACTTTCCTATATCAGGGTACCCGAGACATCCAGAAGACGCCCTAGAGACATACTATAATATGTCGTATAGGTCCCATTGGAACAACCAAATGGACCCCTTCTGAGACCTTCCTTAACAAGGTCAAAGAATCAGAGATTCCACTCTCTACCCAATTGAACGTTATGCAGTTCAAAGGCAACACAGCACTTGAAGTTTGTGCACAAGAAAAAAATCTACTAATGACACTACTGTTTAGAAGCGTCAGTCTCTAGCTAGGACTTTGTTTAATAACATAAAGTCCAAGCCCGAGGTCTTTCAAACCCTATTTCTAAAGGGACTAATGAAAGACAATCCTGAAGCGTATACACATATAATGCGACTATTTAATAAGCCAGGTGTATCAAACGCACATGAGCGCACTCATGACACTCATGCGAAAGCAGGACAGGAGTCTGGAAACACTACAAACTTAGAGACCACGCAAGTGGATTCTCAACACCCTACCTTTATTCTGGAGGAGCAGAATGATGAAAACATTCTTACTTGGCTGACGCAAAACCATAAGCTGAAGCACCAGAACGTAGTAGACGCACTTAAAGATGCAAAGCGAAATGAGATCGCGCACCCTATACTGGCAACTTTAGTTGGCAGAGTATATCAGTCATGTACAGACTGTGATCTCAATCAGATCAAGCGCCATGGGTTTGCTCCGCTTAAGAGTGTGACTGAAGATGTTACATGGCGAAGGGTCATCATTGATCTGGTTGACCTGCCTACGTCCGAACACACAGGTGACCGTTACGTATGACACTTCTTTGATGTCGCGTCACGGTATAACTTGCTCTATCCTTTAAAGGACAAGAGTACGCAGACCGTAGCAGAATTATGTTGCCAAGTCTTTGCTGACCACGGATGGCCAGGTATTATGTGCACTGATAACGGTAGTGTGTTATGCGATGACGTAATGGAATCGCTAGTACTCATGTCAGGCATATGCCATAAGAGAGGTGTGCCATATAAGCCGCAAACGCAAGACGCGAATGAAACGCGCCATAGAAGACTTAAGTTCTTCTTGCGTACTGCATTAACAGATGATGCAGATGATTGGCCGTACCACCTTAAGTTGGTACAAACACAGATGAACGAGTGTGCTGATCCGGATACAGGAACTACACTCGCTCACTATTTTCGTGGCAGACATAGTGAGTTACAAATACCCTTTAAAAAGGACGAACCTGATCACCATGAGTTGCCATGGTTAGAGAAGGTACAACGCATACACAACGTTGTATATCCTTGCTTGCGAGAGACACTTAATGTGGCCTTAATAAAAAGGCAAAATAGATGGAATGCTACCAAGAAGATAGCAGAGTATCAGGTGGGAGACAGAGTTAACATCCGTCAACGTAATTCCGATGCTACTGTACTAGCATCGAAATGGATAGGACCATATGTAATCTCTGTAACTGACATCAAAAGTGGAACCTATGAGGTTAATAACCCTGACGGTTCTAGTGCTCTAAATATAGACACTAGTCGAATTCCGATTACTGAGAATATCCTCGCAAGAAGACATGATTCTACTGCACCCCTTGTCCACTCCGAATTCCAAGATAAAAAACATGGAGAACGGATAAAGGAGGATATACATATTATCGTACACGCTTTATATACGGTACAATCGCTGAAATAACTTCAGACGCTTTTGACAATAAGGACTATTTAAAGGCCTTTAACAGAAAATGGCGTAAACGCCTACATACGTCACAGGCTGAAAAAGATAGCATGTTTCCATCATCTGAAGGCACCGAAGTTAAAACTTACTAGCCAACAGCATTTATTCCGAGCTCTACTGCTCATCCTTCGTATGTTCCAAAAACATTGAAGCGTAAGAAACGTCCAGTCGACCACCATGGACCTACTGGACCTAAGTCCAAAACTCACAGGGCAACCGAGAACGCTTAACTTCTCCGCCTGAGAAACATTAACTATACGTTATGCTACTTAATGATTTCGACCCGTTTTCCTTTCCCCTTTTTTTGACCCGTAATCAGCTTGAGTGAGCAACTTGCTTTTCTTGGGTCTCAAAGCTGGGTGGGGGCTGTGTAAAAGCCGGGCCTCCACATTAGAATCTTGTAATATAAACGTACTCTTAAAAGTACGTAAACTTAGTTTTCCTTCAATAGTTTTTAACAGTTTGAATAATTAAATACCTTTTCCATTTTACATATCAGATATTTGGACAAGGCCATTAAAAGCCCCCAGTAAAATACCAAATATAAGATTTGGACTAGTTCTATTAATAGAACTATATTTACTTTCCAAATCTATTTATATCTGAATACTTCGGTAGCGAGATGGCTCAACCGAACATATGTTTCTAAGGACTGTTAGCGTTGCTTAGTTTATCCTCCGTTCAGCCAACCAGATGTGCCAGTCTGATGAAGGCTAGTCGGTAATTCTTGATAAGGGGCAAGTTATTGGTTAATACAATAACTATGGACATCAAGAGTATTTTCCTTAAAGATAGGATTTCATGAGTCTCTCGGTTTCGGACCACGCCAAATTTGTCCTCTGGAATTTTAACACAAACTAGGTTTTTCTTCATGACTCATCACTTTATGGTTCACGGCGATGTGAACTATTCTTCACCCACAATTTTCACTTAGTCTTCTGAACTACTTATATTGTAGCATAATACCAATAAACAGACTACTCAGTTCTTTTCCCAAAGTTTATACGTTCCAATAGGTTATGGGCTATTATAATACGGACGAAGACTTTGTCTTAGAGCGTGAACACCACTCCACCACGCTTCTCATCGACGACGACGATGGATACGCCACTCCGGACCAAGACCGCCACCCCACCTACCACCATGATTCCACCCCACCCCGTGCCCCTGATACCCCATATCGGCCTCCATTCCCTGAGGCATAACCCCTCGCGCGATCTACTTTCGTCCCCCTATTTCCCCCCAGTAGTCCCCCTAAGTCCACATCTCACGACATCATGCTCACTACTAAAGATTCTCCACACCGCTGGACTTGGACTATTCTTTCTGTCTCTGGTAATCCATTCAATACCTGGAAAACAGATATCTACCTTGCTGCTGCCACCGAGTATATTATTGATCTCCGCCCGCTACTTGTTTATGATGACCTTGTCCATTCAGAAGCATCTACCAATACCTTTATCGCATCTCACAAGGAATCTGGAACATAGCAACGTGCAACCCAGGTTATACTTCGATCGCTTTCCGCCGAACTCGGCACTTCCCCCGATAACTCTACGTTTCTGAACCATCCATGGAAACTCTTGGAGACCATCATTAGCCGATTTCAACATAATTCTGCTAAAGAGCGTAAGAACATCAACCATGCCTATCTTCGCCGGTTTAAACGTCGCAATGACGAAGCCCTCCGTGAATGGGCCTATCGTTGTGAAGTTCTCTTCTGCCAGGCTGATAAACAGGGCACCCGTTTTTCTACCGAATTTCAACAGAATCTGTCTCTTTCTGACCTACCTGACAGCTACCAGGAACAAGTAAAGGGTTATATACTTGGTCTCACCACATCCCGGACCCTAATCACTATCCAACGCTTGTGCCTGTATATTGAGAAATGGGAAATTCTCAACAATATTACCACCCCTCGCGTCAATCGCGCCACCACTCCGGCGCCTCTCACATTGAATGGTACCATCGCAGCTAAGTGCCTGGGTGCCCTTACTGCCAACACCACAACACCAGCACCCCGTAAGTTTCAGTGCTATGTCTGCTGGTCTGACAAACATCATAGCGGTCGCTGTACAGTTGCATGTGGCAAGTGTGGTATTAAGACTCACACTGCACGTGAATGTACCACTACACCACTAACTTGTACCAACTGCTCACACTTTAACCACTTGGCACTTGTATGTAGCAAGAGAAGCAATAAAGCAAATTTTCCCTACTCCAACCACCCCCAATCTACCTCCCCACATACCACCACCACCGCCCGCATATCTAAGATACATACTATCAAACGATGTACACCCAAGTATCAAGACACATTACCTATCGATGGCGGAGCAACTGTTAACTACTTAAATGACAAATTAAGCAATCGTGTAACACGTCGAACAAGGTTCATATTATTTATTACTGGCCGATGAATCTTCCACAATTATTACTAAACGAGGTTCACTCCTCAATTTGGGTATCGCCTACGTCAGCCCCACTCCAATTCAACAACTGGTATCTCAGAACATGATCCCAAGACAATGGACACACCCTCGTCTTTCCACAGGATATCAACCAGTGCATCCTTTCTAGAGGCAACCACTCAATCACGATCCGTCGTTCTCGGGGAGGATATCATGTTACCTTTGATCAACTGGCGGCATTCAACACCCCCCAAGATACCGTCTGCACAATTCGCTCTCCGGCAGCACCAACTACTCCACCGTTGACCACTCCCCATGAACGCCCTCCCGCCCCCCCCCCCCCCACCCCAACTACCTTCGATCCCCCCATTCCGATTACACCCGCCGCACCTACCTTCCCACCAGTCCCAACCCCGTTACGGTGGCGTCCATCGCACCATATTCATTAGTATCTACGACTCCAGCATCCGCTACCACCACCATGACCTATGACGAGTTTCACGCTAACTCTGGTCACCTCAGTCGTATGGCCACACTCCGCCTGGCCAAACGTCACAACATTGCCCTCACCTACCCTCCTAAGCCGTCTGTTCAGACTAATGCCTGGCAACTCAATCCTACTGAATGGCGGCCTGCGCTTCTAAAAGTGATACACATCTTCGATACTACGCGAGCCCAGACGGTTCCGGCCTCTATACTGATTGGCGTGACATCGATTTCCTTTTTGAATCTGCATATACCAATCCTAAGTGGGAGGACCTCTACGAAATTACTCACCATATCACGAAGGTAGGCGCTACAGCCTCTATCGTCGCCCCTCTCCGACCTTGTGCATAATGACACTCTCGTTGCCGATGGAGATTCTGACCTACAAAGTGACATTCTCACCACTCACCTTGCTTCTAAGGGTATTGAACTTCGGTTCCCCCCCC